AAGCAATATATCAATCATAAATTGCATTTACATGACCAAAAATTCAGACATCACCGCTTATTTATTTTTGCTGCATTTGATATGCTATGAAGAAGAGATGTTGCGTCAGGAACATATCTAATGACAAAGCAATTGAATTTTAAAAGATCTGCTGAGTTGATTTCAAAGCTGACGTTATCAGATATGAAAGTTGCAATAGAACAAGAACAAAATAAACTACCCGTAACTAACGAAGCTATTCTTGAATTATTAAAAAATATTAGAGTTGTTGGTGAAAAAATCATAGGATCAAATCAATCGCGTATAAAACTTCAGAATGAAATTTGTGCAGTTATTATCCTCATTATTTATAACAATCAACCCTGCAGATCTTCATAGTTCAATTGTACTTATGTATGCAGGAAAAGAAATTGATTTTAACAATAAGCTTCCAGAACAGTTCCCTACGGCAAGAAAAAAAGCTAAACTAGCTTGCCTTGATCCAACTGCGGTGGCGAAATATTTTGATACCATTATTAAAAAAACAATAGAAATAATTATCGGTTATAGCAAATCAAAGGGTGGTATATTGTTAATATGGCTCAATGGAGCTCTTAATCCTGTAGAACTGCGTGAATATCTTCGAAATAATGAAAATTTTAGAAATCGATTAATAAATTATGTAGGTGAAATTGTTAAAGAAGATATCACATATCTTTTTCCTGATAGTGATTACTTAACTAACGAAATGCTATATACTGAATACAATACACCAAAAATGAAACTAGAAAAAAAAATAAACCCATCTCTTTTAACGATTCCAGACCCACGATCTTCTAACTTTGATGAAAAACTTCGACTGGATATACTTGAAATTGCCAAACGCACGTTATTCCATAAATGCACTAAATCATACAAAAAATATAGATGTGGTAGAATATCCAACTGTCGGTTCAATTTTCTGAGTGAATTGGTTAAAGCACCAGGAAAGATATATCCAGAACTTGGTATAATTACTCTCCAGCATTATAATGCATATATTAACAATCATAATCCCTACATAACCGCTGCTTGTCGTTGCAACAATGATATTAGATTTATTGCAACAACCAAATTGGCATTAGCATATATTCATTATGTTACAGATTATATAACCAAGTTTGATACGAGTACCCATAACTCATTCCTGATGTGTGTAATAACCTTAAATAAATTTATTACAGAAGGAATGGAAAAATTATTTGATGAATCTATAGCAAGATCGCGACGACTAGTCACAATGTGTCTCAATAAGATAACAGGACAAACAGAAATAACAGGGCCTCAAATATCGGCATACCTACTAGGCTTTGGAGATCATTATACACCAAATAAATTCATTCCAATCCATCTTAATTCCTTTAAATCATACTTAACTTTACAATACCCAATTAAAAATGATCAAATCCAAGTAATGATGAATCGGAGAAAAGTGATGAAGAACTAGATGATGACTTTATTAGTGATGAAATGTTTACAATAACTAATGAAAGTAAAAAAATAGTAGCGACAAATTTGCGTATTGACTATATACATCATGGTGAACAGTTAAAAAAAATATATCTTTACGATTATGTTGCTACGCTTCATAAGGTAAAGATAAATAAAGTGAATTAAACAAAAATGTAAGGCAAGAAAACCGTGAAGGATGAGCAACAAGAGTAGATCGATTTTTTTTTTCAGGTGGCAAAAAAAAATGTGATGAAACTTGTAACCACGGTATCATATATCCGCAACACTCTACACATATACAGGTTCATTGATGTCTTGGAAATGAAAAAATACCTGTAATATGTGGAAAAGGCATACCTCGCAAAAATGATAACGAAAATACTGAACGTTATAGTCTTTGTATTCTTTTGCTTTTCAAACTATGAATAACTGCAAATGATCTTATAGCTAGATATAAAACGTGGCGTGAAGCTTGTAATAACTTTATACAAAGCCCAGAACTCTCACTGCGTTTGCGAATCTAATAAACAATGTTGAACTTTTACATCGATATGCAGAAGAAACACTCTTAGATCGACAATTACGACAAATGTCTCATGAAAGTCCTGAAATTGAAAAAATCCAACGAATAGAGAGATCGATAACTGGTTATAGTACCCCAAGTGACAAGATGACTTTGATGATAATGATACTACTCCTATGAATCCATACAAAATTGTACGTTCTGGACTACAAAATATAAATTTTGTTAATGATGCACTGATTCATTTGCATCTTAAAAGTAGACTGGTAAAGAAAATCGAAATGGAATTAATAAATTGAATTGTGTTACTGATAAGACCCAAATAAGACTATCTTGCGAGAATAATAATGAACTAATTCAAAAATGGCAAGAAACTATAACACTAAGAAAACAAATGAAAAAAACGAATAATGATTCAAATTCTGAAAAAAATAATAAACCCAAAATTTCTACAAACACTCCTGATAAAAAAAACTCAAACCTAATTCAAAAAAATCTACTTCAAGAAATTTCAAACGACCTTAATTATGAACAAAAAAAAGTTTTTATGCTTATCTGTGACCACCGCAACAGAAATTATCCTAGAAGCTCCAATAAACCATCCCAGTTGCTAATGTATTTAGGTAGTGCCGGTGGCATCGGAAAATCAAAAATAATAAAAGCAATCTGTGAATATTTTGACCATATTGGAAAGAGACAAAGTCTTGAGGTCTGTGCGCTAACAGGTTTCACTGCATCAAATATCCAAGGCTGTACTCTTCATTCGCTCTGCGGCTTTAAATTTAACGATGACAACTGTCATGACTTTAATAATGAACATACATATAATAAATCAAAGAAGACATTTGAAGAACGTCAGGCAAGTTTAGAGTACCTTATTATAGATGAAATATCTACGATAGGACAGAGACTATTAGAGCATTTTGACGTGTGTGTTAAGGAAGCGAAATGTATTCAGGATAACACCATACCTTTTGCAGGCCTAAATATTCTTTTTGTCGGAGATTTTATGCAACTACCTCTAGTACTTGACCCTCCGTTATACCGAATATACAATATTAATGATACATATAATTCACAGCTAACCAATATAAATCATAAACAAAACATGTATCAATTTAATGCTCAAAAAATATCAGTGGCAGAGAGCTATGGAAAACGATTAAACATACAATCATTCTAAGAAAACAAATGTGACAGATCAATGACTTAGAGTATACAGCTATATTAAATAATTTGCGAACTGGACAACTAACAACAAAGCAATATGAAACACTTTGTCAACATATAATAACTGTAGATGATATGAGCTTATCCGAATGGCAAGAAGCAACATTTTTGGTCCGAAGAAATGACTTATGAATTCAACTCAACTTTGAAAATACAATAAAATATGCTAGAAACCAAAATCAACCAGTATATTATATTTATACAGAAGATACTTACAAAAATGAGCCTGTACATGGCAGCATAAGACGAAAATTTTTAAGTGTATCTGATACAAAAATCAAATGCGTTATGTGGTATATTACCATTATCTATTGGTATGAAAATAACTTTGACCGTCAATATTTGTACAAATGACGTAATGGTAAATGGTGCACAAGGTATCCCACGACAGATAATATACGATAATACTATATCAAATCTAGAAAACATGAATATTAATGAAGGAACCGATGTTATCCTCCATAAACCACCTAAATACATAATTATAGAAATCTTGAACCATAAACCAGACTCATACGAAAACCTTCCTCCGAATCATGTACCAATTTATACAATTAAACGAAATTGCAAATATATACATAAAATAAGCGATGGTTCAGAATTAACTAGAGGATTTCAAAGAACGCAATTGCCGATTACACCAGCTTTCGCACTCACAAAATTCAAATGCCAAGGTGCCACATTAGAAAAAGTAATCATTGATTTAAATGGTGGAACTATAGGTGCAGGCACCTATGTTATGTTATCCAGAGTACAAAGAATGGAAGACGTAAAAATAATTTGACCATTTGACCATTCAAAACTTAATATAATAGTCGACTCTGATCTTAAAAAAGAACTAATATATTTTGAGAAATGCTCAAAAGTAACTGAACAATTACTTGCATGGCCTAACACCGAATAACATATACTTATAAAAATAAAACTTTCGTAGCATACAAAATGCAAAAAACATGATAATATATAATACATATAAAAAAAAAAAACCAAAAAAATACTACAAATACATCAAACAAATAAATTGATTATTACTTATATAAATGTTTATTAATTTAAACTTTATTTAACTTCCACATATATCCTACCAAAAAGATATTAATGATCTAATTCAAACACCTCCAAACAAATACTCTAAACCATACATCACACGACCAAAATTAATTATATTAAAACATAATTAAACTTCTTTCAACCTTGCAAAATCTAACTTTAACAACTTTTAAATCAAATAAAAAGAAAAAATTATAATTTTAATAACAAAAAAATTGACATTATGAATAATCTTTATATACCCGCTTAAACAAATTAATTTATCAATTAATCACCCATTCGATCAGTAATATAATTAACCCAATAATAACTTACTAATAAAAAACTCAATCAAACCACATTATCAGACTGAAATAACAAAAATTTACTACATTCCACTTATTTTATCCATTACTTACACATTAAACATACAAAATTCAACTTTCACAATAAAACCAACTTTACTACACATTACATATGATATACACATTAATACTCCATGTGATATGAAATCCAAATTTTCATCGATACTCAAAACACCATTATAAAAAAAACAAAAAATAACAAAAATATTTACAAACAATTTTTACTCAAATAAAATGACTAAATAATATTGCAAACAAAAACAAATAAAAATGAAAAATATTCAATAATACTAAAAAAAAACTAAATATATAACGCAAAAAAATAATAAAATATAACAAAATAACATCAAATACAAAATAATAAATCATCAATAAGCAACTACTTAAGACTTAGTTCTACGTCTTGTATTATGCACTGTAGACTGAACTTCCTTTTCCTTACCCTTATTTAACTTTTTACTACAATTAATCCCTTCATTATTTTCAAAAACAACATTTCCACCACTTTCACTACTTCCTTTTACGTATTCACTATTATGCTCAATTACATATTTATTTTCAATATGATCAGAATCGACATACTCAATGTAATCATCTGCTTCGTCATCAACTCTAACATGCTTTGATAAGCAACAACCGCTAATGGATGAACTGACGTATTCTAAGCTATTATCATCTTTATTTTTCACTTTCTCACATTTTAAAAGATGACTATCACCACTAGTCAAATCGACCATAGTCTTAACACAATCTGAACCTCCAATATCCGAAACCTTGTCAGAACTCTTACAAGCACTTTGATGAGCAATTAAAAGTTTTGAACAAACAAAATTATAAGATTCTGAAGTAACTTGTGAACTAACAGAATCTGATACTTTTCTCTTAGTTATAGAAGGAACATCAACATAAGAAATATCAACAGCATTTACATATAAAATACCCTCAATAGCTTCCAACTGCCCCATAACAAAAAAAACAGACTCATTCAGCTAAATAGAACTTCTTAAATGCTTAAATCTGCTATTTTCATATGAAAACACAATCTTTACAGTAAAATTATACTTTTTTTGCCTAGTGAAATCCCTAACTAAAACATTAACCATTGTATTCTCTTTATTAAACTCCTTCATTACATCTTGAGCAATACTGACTAATGAAACTTTTAACGGGCACCTATTCGAACCGAGATCCCTCTTAATAGTAATATGAGTAGATGTTGAAACAGTTATCTAAAAAAAAAAAAAAATTAATAATATGAACTTTAATAACTAAAATATGAAAATCCTAAAGCAAATTGCCTTTAATTTAAAACTATTATTTTAATTTTCAGGCACAACTTTGCCACCAATGCAAAAATATTCATCCTTTACAAAAATCATCTAAGTATTAGGATCTCTATCTTCATCCTTTATCAGAACAAACAAAACCAAATCCAATTTACGAACTTTACTTTCAAGAGAATAAACACCAACAGCCCAAATGATAGTCAGATTTAAATCCTCTCTATCAGTCAAATGAACTTGATTAATCCTCACAATTGTATCGATATTACAAGGCATTATAAAAAGTACGAAAAAAATAAAATAACCAATAATATAAAAAAATTACTTTAATAATCAAAATTAAAATGATACAATAATAACATAAAACATCGACAAAATTATCTTGATACAACTAAACTTAAATGGCTAAAAATACATGTTTAAATATAAATCCATTAAAATAAAAATAAAAACTGACAACAATCAATCTATGAAAAAAAATATAGTCATTACTCTAATGACCAAATTAAATAAAGATAACAACACACAAAATAAATAAACGATATAAATACAATTGAATATAATAAATAACCAACTATATAAAAATCTTCCCATGAATTACTTGCCTATTAAAAACAAGACAAAAATATAAATATCAAAAAAATACTTAACTAAAATACAATTACGCCAGTAATAATCTTCCAACAAACTTATATTAAACAAAAATTTAAAAACTATAACCAAAATAAAAATAATAGCAAAATCATTAATGATATGAAAAAATTTAAAACTCTTTAACAAACAATAAATTACAAAATCAAAAAATCACACCTGAATTTTTCTTAATTTACTAGAATTTCACAACTTAATAGAATATCTTGTACAGTGGGCGGCAAAAGTAATGCCCGAATTTCGCTCAAAATGGAAATTTTTTATTAATAAAATTTTTGCCCTATATACATAACATTTTTTTTTTTTACATTTATTTAATATTTGAATGAACAACCATCCACACTGGCTACTTCTTCGATTCTTCGCTGTACTGACTCTACAAGAGCCCGAAGAACTGACACATCCAAGTTTGACCACGCCTCTTTAATGGCTATTTTAAGTTCATCCGCATCTCTTGGAAAGTTCTCCCGATT